AGTTATATTATCTTTGGATGGTACAACTTGTACCACGCAAAAAGCAAAAAAGTTAAAAGTTGGCTATTGTGTTTGCCCAAATTTCTACAGGCTCCACTTTGGTTGGTCTTTTCACTATAAAATATGGTAATAAAAATACGGGTATGTAAAGGTCTGTGTATACTGGTGGGAGTGGTAGAAAACATTTGGCAATGTTTAATAATATAATATTGTGCATTTTATTTACACTCGGAAGATTTCCCCCAAAGAATGTTTTAAGTGGTGTACATTATAAATGCCTACCAGTATTTTGATGTAGGATCCCTATCCTGCTGCTTGTTTGGAGCCTGCTGCAGGAGGGACAAGGCTGTCCAGCTGCTGGCGATGTCCTGTATTAATCAACCATTCATAAAACTTGTTCTCCACAAGTACCTGGAACTGCTTCCTCTGATCCCTAAAATCACAAGTGAAAGCAGAAAGAACATAAGAACACTAATTCATCTATATTTAATTCCAAGTGATTACATAACACTTTAATGGGATAACATTAAATGATTCATTATTTCTAGTTATCTTTTTGTTCTCTCTCTGTTTAAAGTACACTAGACCACCCTCCACCACCAAAAAAGGATTGGTCAGATACAATGCCCTCTTTGTAAAGACTTATTCATTGTCAGATATTTACTGAGGACCAAGTGAATGCTGGGTAATGTTCTGATTGATGGGGATAACTGTGTAAAGAAAAGAGAAGAGACAAAGCTCCTGTTCAGGCTGGATGGTACTATTTGACTCCAGAGGGACCACTCACATTGTGATCTATGTAGTCTATGCTCCTGAGGACCCTATATTCTAGTAGGAAAGATAGGTAACAAATAAAATAAATATATGATATAAAGTTAAATAGTTATAAGAGGCTTGGAGAAAAATAGAGCAGGGTAAAGGAATGGAGAATATTGGAAATGCTATTTTAGAAAAAGAATGGACAAAGATGACCTCTCTAAAATGACATTTGTTTAGAGGTCTGAATGAAGTGATGGAGTAAGCAAAATGACTATCTGGAGGAACATACCAAGCAGAAGAAACAGAAAGGACAAAGATTCTAAAGTTAGAGCATATTTAACATGTTCATGGTAAGACAGAAAAGAGTAGCTCCTGACAGCCAGGAGCTAGCTTAGCACTATCCTAGGCCTTGGTGTAGCTGGATCTGGCCTGGCTGTGGTGTTCTTCTGTTGAACGTAAGCAATTCCACAGAATACCAACATAAGACAAAGCCACTCCAGGATGACAGTCCACAGCAAGAACTAGACCACTCCATAATTATATCTCATTCCAGGTGCCCTCTGCCCCCCACCAAAAAAAATCTGTGATCTAAACCACAAAAATGACCAAATGACACCCTTTGAGTGACTGCTGCTTCCCTACAATTACAGTTTTAGTTCTATTTCCTTCCTCTTGCCTTAGATATAAAAATTATTAAGCTATCAAATCACAGAATTACTCTCAGTCCCAGATAGCCCTGCTTCCTAGAACCCTCCCCTAAATCACCTAACACAAGGCAAAATCCCCAAACTTTCACTGAGATAAAACACAGTTCTCTTGCTCCTTGCAATGAGTCTACATATGTTTGTTCTACATATGTTCCCAGCAGTCTTTGGCTAGATGGCAATGACTAAGTAATAGCAAGAAGACTGTTGTATGCTGGGAGGGAGTAAATGAGGAAGAGAATGGCAGCAAATGAGGAAAAGAGAGCCTGATATGTATGGTAAAGACTTTAGATTTTATTCCAAATATGATTAAAAGCCATTAGAGGGGTCAGAGCAGGAAAATGACAAAATCTAATCACTTTCAAATGGATCTTATTGGCAGTCTGTTTTCAAACTGATTTCTGTCTGCCTATATTCCCAAAGTCAAATTGACTACTTTTGTTGTTTCTGGTGTCGCCATGGATCTCACCACTTGAAAACACTATGATTCAGAATTAACATTTATCAAGTGTTTACCACATCCCACACTCTGCGTATGTGTATTAAGTTTTTCACATGTGTAAGAGAATCTAGGCACCTAAATATCAGAAGCTTATTCAAACAACAGAATTTCTTTAAAAGGATATTTTTTCAATGGTCATCCATTTTTATATCACGTTATTATAATGTTATTATTGTATGATATAATATGACATGATCTGGTATGACAATAGTTGAAAGAAAATGATAAAGACATCAGAGGCATTTAAGAACCTCTGGAACCACACTGACTAGGTGTGAATCCAGGCTCCTGTGTGACTTTGGGTAAAGTACCTAATCTCTCAGTTCTTCAGTTTTCTCATCTTTAGTAGGGAATTATTATGAAGAATAAATGAATTAGTACCTAGAAGGTACTTAGAATAGTCTTAAATTATGTGGTATATTCTATATATGATTTCTTTGATTCATGTAACTCTTACATCTATCAACTAAACTTAAGCTTCTTAAAAGAAGGGAGTCCAATACTTGAGTATCCACTCACTCCCATCCCTCGACCCAACAGTGCCTAGAATACTGACCTGAAATCCAAGCTTTCACAAAACTTTAGCACAGCTGTAAAAATGTACAGATTAATTTGTTTTTCCATGGAGTTTCACATAAAATACAAACTATTACTTCTAAAAAATACTCACTTTGTCAAACGAGCCTCCTTCACAGTTTTCTGCCAGATTTGTATCTTCTGTTCTCTTTGACCAAGTGCTTTCTGATATGCAGATGGAAGACCCCCAGGTATCTCTGTTGTGTCCCCTTCCATTTCAAAGGGAATAATAAATACATAGAATTCACAAGGTGGTAAGAGCCGGAAGACACTAGCATCACTGTTCTCTCTGCACACAATCATTGGATTATCCCAATAGTTAGGCACTGTAGCAAGGCCCGTCCTGGCCATATGGTCCTCTAGCATTGGGTAATGGGTATGAAAAGGGGCAAAAGTTACTGTCTGGTTCCCAGAGAGAATAAGTGGGCGCGTAGGCGTCAGAATGTGAAAGATGCACCCTGTGGTAGAAGAGATAGACAAACGGTGGCAAACAGCAATGACTTTAACATTGTCACAATTGTGTAGGTGAAGAGTAGTCTCTACAGGGCCCAAGACAAAGGTACTATTCCTGCATTTCTCAATTGTCACAGATCTGAAAAAAGAAAAAAATGAGATAAATTCCTCTGAATAAGATAAAAACTATTTGACTGAAATATTATTCTCTGAAGGCAAAAAAAGGGTCATAGTCCAAAGAAAATATCCAAATGTCAGAACGCTATGAAGACTGTGCTTACCGTAAGGGGGAGAGCAGATATATAAAAGACTCGTTGCACCGATGAATCTTTACATGTGCCCCCAGCAGCGTATCTGAGCTCTTGGCCAACGTCTGCTTGTAAACCTGGCTCATCACCACCATGCCATGCATCCTAGGGGCCACATGAGTATTACAAGCAATCTTAGCTCTTTTGGTTGTCCCTTCAACTATTTAAGAAAACATATAAATAAATGAGATATTTTCAAATCAAAGAAAACAAACAACCATATGAGGTTACACATGTTTATGTGTATACATGTTTAAAATTAGATATTACATGTGAGGGAAAAAATGTTAGACCTGGGGATTGGGAAAAGAGGTGTTTGCTATACCATTCTCTGTTCTTTTCCGTATTTGTACTATTTCATAATTTTTATGAAAAAAATTTAAAACCCATAAGCCATTTAAGATTGCTTATATATCAAAGATTTTTTCATGTCTACTGTTCGAGTTAAGTAATGTAGCTAAGGTCATATGGCTAGTAAGTGGCAGAGCTGGTCTAACTCAAGTATCTTCTCCTCCATGATGCTTTACTTTATCATCTCAACCATAATTCACCTCTCTAAATTGCCATAATATTAATTCTGCACCCCTCCTAATTAACTTACCACATTATTCCAAAAATCCTATTTGAGTTCATGTCTTTATTCCCAAGATCATTACTATCTAAGAGCACACCTTCCTATCAAATACAGTGTCTTGCACAAACTAACACTCAAAAAATATGTGTAAGTTGCCGTCCTAACATAATCTCACCATTAGGTGACTGGCTTCTCAAACTGTAATTCCCTGCAAGCCACTGGGACACCCTTGTAAACAATACTGGCCAAATGTGGAACGGTCACATAAGTATGCTATTATTCTTTTAAAATAATTCTTATTGTTTATTTTTATTACATATGTACCATGTATGTAATACATGGTTATTGTAGAAAAACAATAGTAAAAGAAGATAAAAATCATTTGTAATCCTACTATCCATCGCTGTTAACATTTTAGTATAATCTTTACTAGGTTGGACATTCTTTCTTTTTTCCTACTAGTGCGTATCTTAACATTCAAAAACTCTCTTGAACCTATATTCTTTTATGAACATCAAGAATTATGTAGTATCTCTTATATATTTATGGGAGCCTTATATATCTGAGAGTCTTACACCTCATACTAGAGCTTAGCTGGATACAGAATTCTTGGATTACAATCTTTTTGCTCAAGATTCTATAGATGTTGTTCAACCATTTTCTGTTTTTTATCATTATAAAAATTTGATACAAAACTTTTTTTCCCCACATTTGTATGAAACCTAATATTTTCTCTATCTCTGATATTCAGAGATTATAGAAGTATATTCTAGTGCATTTTTTTCCCATTCATTTTGCCTAGTACTTGCCTCAGTAGTACAGACACCTAATGGTGTCTCTTAGAACTTGTACCTGGGCCCAGGAGTCATATGGCACCTGAACTTATCCATTTAGCCATTGCTGGATTCTCAGGCATACCAGATGTATCCCAATATTCTCCCTACTGAAAATTTAAATTTCCAATTTAGAAACATCTACTCTGCTTATGCCTATGAAGCTAAAAAGACAGTATCTCTACATGAACTCTCTGAGGTTGTTACCATGGGATGGCCAAATTCTGCTGTGTTGTATAGAAGATAGGAAAGCCTCAAGCAAGTGAGTGTGACGGTGTGAAGGTGAGTCAGGGAAGAGAAAAGCAGAGCAAAGAGAGGACTAACTACAGTTGGAATTTCTGTTAACTGTGACCAAAAGGACCCTGAAGAATAAATCAACTCTCTGAGATTGTTGCTGCCTTGAGAGAAAAAGTCATATAGAAAAGACAGATGTTCCCTTTTTCTCTTTTTTATAGCAGCACTATTTTTTAGGTCCTCTACAGAAGATGTGTGATCATTAATACACTAGAAAACACTAGGTTCCTTAACTTGTCATTCAATTTAATATAGATTAAAATGTTAAAAAATACCTTGGTGAGCCCAAGCCAATTTCTTTCCAGACTTGAGACAAGCAGATGTACCAAATGGATTCCCAGTCAAACAGGATCTCAACCAGGCTTCCAGCTTGTAGAAAGAGAAAGTCTTAGAGATCTTTGAGAAGCCACTTTCTGCATGCAGTGGTTGCCACAGTGCAAGTTCATGAAGTGGATAGATCTTCCTGGTTCTACTTACTGTACCTTCAATAAGAAAGCTGAGTGCCACAACAGCTTCTTGAGACACTAGACTACTACGGGTCAAATGAAATGATGTAGTGAGTTGTTCTGGATCTAAAAGCAGCTCAAGAAGATCTGATAGATGATCCCAGACAAAGGCTTGGTGACTATAATCATTCCAGTTCTAAAAAAATCAAAAGAAAGCACTCTTAACAGAACAAAGAAATTCCGTAAGATCTAAAACTTCTATATTTTAATTATTTTGGATTTATTCTCTGCCTCATCCCCAAAAAGGATTTAGGTGGGTTATAAATCTTATATAGTTTAGTCAGGCATGGTGGCTCCTTTGGGAGGCCGAGGCAGGAGGATTACTTGAGGACAGGAGATCAAGACCAGCCTAGGGAACATAGTGAGACCCTGTCTCTACAAAAAATTAAAAAATTAGCTGGGCATGGTGGTGCCAATCTGTAGTCCCAGCTACTTGGGAGGCTGAGGGAGGAGGATCACTTAAGTCCAAGAGGTCGAGGCTTCAATGAACAATTACATAATCATGCCACTGCATTCCAGCCTGGGCAACAGAGCAAAACTCTGTCTCAAAACAACAAAAAAACACAAACATAAAATTTTTTGCGTATGTGATAGGTGTAAATAGATTCTCTTTCCACTTTAAGTAATTCAAAGTAATACTAATAAATAACCTTTGTGTGTGTCAAGCATTAAGTACTATGCATACTTTAACACATTTAAGCCTAACAGTAATTCCAGAATAGATACCATTATCATACCTATTTTACAGATGAGGAAATGGATTTATGGATTTACAGAAAGGTAAAGAAACTTGATCAAGATCACAGAGCTAGTAAATACTCTAAAAGTTTCAGATGAAACATAAAAGTAACCATGATGGACATTCATTTAGTGAAACACTAGGTTTCTTAATTTACCTTCTCCAATTACAGAAGGAATTTTAAATTCTACTGGGTGAAATGAGGCAATCGATCTTACAGTGACTCTATTTAAGAGAAATTATAACTTTGGGAATAAGCTTTGAGTTGGCAGATGTTCTAGTGATTTGAGCCATTCATTTGATAGATATTTTCTGAGCACCTCTTATTGACATGAAAAAATGTTAAGTGATGAACATAAAAATTGATTAAGACATAGTTCCAGTCCTCAAAGAACTCATGAGAAGACAGTATAAACAAATAACCACAACGCAGTGAGATAAGACCTATAGCAGAGATCAATAAAGATGTTCTACGAGCATGAGAGGAACAACTCCACCAGGGAGAAAAAAATCATAGTGGGTTGCTATTTGAATAGATTCTTGATTTATGCTGGTAGTTAAGCAAACAGATAAGAAAAAAGGCATTGTAGGCATAGGGAACGCATATGCAAAGGCCCAAAGGAGTAGAAATACCTGCTATGTTCAGAGAGCTGAAAATTCTGGACGGGGTATAGGAAGCATGCTGGGAAGTGGCAGCTGAAGTTAAAATGGTAGGCAGGGACCAATCATGAAAGGCCTTGTACGAAATACTAAAACATTTGGATTTTATTTTGTATGCCAGGGACTTCCAAACTATTTTCTAAATAGCTATATCTTTTATTTTTCTTTTTAGTAAGTTCTCCTCTGGATGCCAAAGAAAACAGATCAAAGCGAGCTGTCCTCAGCCTCAACCTGCTCTTTCTCCCTTTCATTGCATTCCCCCTCCTCAAAGTAGGCCATATGGTGGCTCCACAGAATTCAATATGAAACCAACAATGACAAGGAGGATTCACTGACAGAGTTTAGAAGGGAGACAGATATAATCCATCCGTATTTTAGAAAGTCCAGTGTGGTAGGTGGACTGTAGACTAAAGCAGGGTGACCAGCTAGAACCTAATTACAGAAATCAATGCAAAAAAAGTCATTAGATAAAAAAGCTTAGATAAGAGAAAGAAAAGGGACAAATTCAAAGTGTCATGCTGAGGCAGAATCAGTAAGACTTTACAACTAACTGGGTATGGGTGGTGAGAAAGGAGCACGGGTGGGCTGGTGGTAACTTTCACTGGCATAGGGAGTACAAGTTAACTGAAGGAAAGGGAGATTTTACTGTAGGGACACTCAGTCGTCTCCCAGATGAAGTTAGAACTGGAAATGGGAAGCCATCAGAATCTGATTCTCTTTCAGGGGCCAGGGTCTCTCTGCATGTCTCTTCCATTCTCTTCTTTTTCTCTGATGACAAGCACCCCGTGCTTCTCTGATTACCTCAGAGTTTCTAGTCCCTCATAACTCCAGGTCACCTCCACGCATGGTGGCTATTGTGGTCCCAATGCCACTTGGGTTTTTGGTTCAAGCACTTATCACCAAATCATAATTTCCTACTGGGGGTACTGACTAGCCCAGGTCATCACTTCAAATCAGAGCAATTTCAAATACATTGTAACACGTGTCCATCCTGGTCCTATCAGTTGTTTGGAAAGGTCATGCTATAGCACAAAACCAGAGTCACCATTTACTGGTGCCTGGTATGCAACAAATCCCATGGTAATATAACTGAATTCTCACAGCCATAGGGAAATAGGCAGTATTATCCCCATCTAGAGAGGGGAAGCCAAGGTCTAGAGAAGTTAACTGACTTGCCTGAAATCATGTGACTATTAAGTGAGAGCCAGATAAGCCTGCAGACTGCCTTGGCTCAAAACACCATCTCCTATTAGTGCCCATTCAGCAGGAACTGCATGTGGAGAGAGCAGGCAATGATTGGCATTGCTGATACACCTGGACTTGAACATTCTGAATTTCAGGTATAGCTAGGGCAACTACGTGAAGGGATAAATATGAGGCAAGAATTCTGGGATGGAGACAAAGTTAGGAGTTATTGAGATATATGAGGTCATGGGAATAGAAAGAATTATCTTGAATGAATATGTTGAGTGAGGAAACTGCCACAGGCAGAATAGCTGCTGCATGTAAGGACCAGGGGGAGAGAAATTTATGAAAAATGGTGAGAAGGAATAATCACAAGCTGAACCAAGAGGGTGTAGCATCATAGAATATAAGGGAGGACAGATTTATTAAAAAGAGATTATAAAAGTGCCAAACAACACAGAGGTTTTTTTTTTGTTGTTTTTTTCTTTTTTAGCCTCAGAACATTTTTAAAGAGCCTGCACATGGCATTAATACTGAGGTCTACGTTTTAAAGTTTTTCAGAATACTTCCACAAAAACAGGTAAAAACATTTGGTTTTTTTTTACAAAAACAGACAGAAAAAGCAATAAGACATTTTCTAAAGCTCACAATGTGAGGCAGTTAAATTTAACTTCTAGGTTGTCACATCATATATAAGTACTTAAGCATAATTAAGCAATATGAGAAGATATTTTTATAGAAAATTTTTCAGATTTCAACAGACTTTGCAAACACATCTTTTTGTTTATCCTATTTTAGTCAAATGAGTAGACTCAAATTCATTAACATTTGCAAAAATGGGAATGCTAATAGAATATAGTGAATGATTTGCCCAAAAATCATGCTAGTGTTTTTTACATCAGTGAAAGTAGTGTATCAAAATCATTTCTCTATACACACTTCTCTGCACACATTGATTTTGTTTCATAATAAGAGAAAGTAAAAAGTAAAAAACAAAACAAGCCATCAAATCACTGGCTTATGTAAGAAATCCCAACATAATTTTTAATGAAGGTGAACCATTTCCCTCATAAATTGTTCATTTTAGAGAAAGAGACCAAAATATAAACAGTACCTTATTATGACAATTGGATTTTTCAGTCAGGTCAGGAGACCGAGATCTATTTCTGGGACTAGGCCACTCTTCTCCAATCAAAGATGTCCTCAAGGAGACCTTATTTAACTGTTGTATGTATAAGAAGAGCAGAAACTGTAGGGTGTCCACTGAAACCTACCCAAGAAGAAAATAAATGATGAATACATGTCATATTTATTTAAAAAAATGTTTTTCTCACCTCATGTCAGTAGAAAAGTAAAACACATCTTAAAACAATATCACTAATCTACAACTAAGTAAACAGTAAATTCACAAGTTTTCTGATCCTAAGAAAACAATTTAGAAACACTGCTAGTAGTTGATATGTATGTCTCTGATATGGAGATGTAGGAGTGTCTAAGACTAATTAAAATGGAGTCATTTACCTTTGTAGAAAGCTGGATAGCATCTATGGCCATAGCAATTCTCTCCCAAAACTGATGAAGGGGAAAGAATGAAGTATACACTTTTTTAAAGTACGTTATCTCAGAAATTTATAGTTAAAAAAACCACCTTAGTAATTTGAATAAATAAATGAATAGATGGAAGAAAGAAAGAAGGAAATTCAGTGAAGACACAAAGGTTTAACCTAAGGCTCAAAGACTTATCAAGAAAGTTTAGGATATCAGTGCAACTGCCAAAATTTTATGTATTTTTTTGTGTATGTACATTTTGTGGAGAAGCAGGCTTCAGGTTTTCACCAAATTTTTTTTTTTTTGAGAAGGGGTCTCACTATATTGCCCAGGCTGGTCTGAAATTCCTGAGCTCAAGCAATCCTCTTGCCTCAGCCTCCTGAGTAGCTGGCATTACAGGCAAGTGCCTCTGTACCTGGCTGGTTTTCACCAGATTCTTAAAGGGGTATTTGACTTAAAGAGAAAAATACTACTAGTTTGATAGATGTATAAAGTCATTTCTTATTCAAGGAAGGGTTTGGTTTGAAACTCACAATTTGAAGCTCTTGATTATCCTCAGATACCCATCCCAATGCATAAACAGGAGAGGCAAAAAAGTGAAGTAATACATCTGGGTGTACAGCTATATTCTCCCTGATTCTCAACCTGGCTAAAAATCACTACCATCTGAAGAACTTAAAAGTATAGATTCTCAAGATCACCCAGATCTATTCAATCTACTGTCAATGTTGAGTCCCATGAATTTATATATTTTATAAATTTTCAATTACTTAAACTTTTGAAATAACTAGATTCATATGCAGTTGTGAAAACTGATAGAGAGAGATCCCATGTACCCTTTACCCATCCTGCAAAACTACAGCACAATATCACAATCAGGATACTGACACTGATACAGTCAAGATACAGAAATTTTCCATCAATGTAAGAATCTCTCATGTTGTCCTTTTATAGCCACACCCTTTCCTTAACCCCTAGCAACCACTTACTGGTTTGCCATCACTATGATTTTGACATTTCAAGAGTGTTATATAAATGGAATCATATAATATGTAACCTTTTGGGATTAGCTTTTTCACTCAGCATAAGTCCTTGATTTTATAATTTTTTTTTTTTTTTTTTTTTTTGAGACAGAGTCTCACTGTGTTGCCCGGGGTAGAGTGCCATGGCGTCATCCTAGCTCACAGCAACCTCAAACTCCTGGGCTCAAGCAATCCTTCTGCCTCAGCCTCCCGAGTAGCTGAGACTACAGGCACGTGCCACCATGCCTGGCTAATTTTTTCTATATATTTTTAGTTGTCTGATTAATTTCTTTCTATTTTTAGTAGAGACGGGGTCTCGCTCTTGCTCAGGCTGGTCTCGAACTCCTGAGCTCAAACAATCCACCCGCCTCGGCCTCCCAGAGTGCCAGGATTACAGGCGTGAGCCACCGCGCCTGGCCGATTTTATAAATTTTTAACAATTATTTGTCATATTATCATTATTTCTTCCTATAGTCTCCTTGTGAGACTATATGATCCTTGTCTTTTCCATTTTTATATACCTAGTAACTAGCATAGAATCTGGTACATAATAAGCACTCAAGAAATTTGGAAATCCCTAAAGGTTTTATTCACCTCTGTATCCACAGCATCTACTACTATACATAGCACACAGTAGGCACTCAATAAATATTTGAATAATGAATAAATGTAATACCCTTCCCCTCTTGGTTGCTAGATAAACTTCTTTTCAATTTCCAAAACCCTGTTTAGATATTACCCCATACAGCAGAGACTGGCTAGATGCTAACTAAATATCTTTTCTCTTCTTCCTGGGCACAAAATTAGATGGCATTTCCTACTCCCCACCCCTTGCAGTTAGATATGGTATAACTAAGTTATGGTCAATGGAATGTGGATTAATTCATATTTACCACTTTCAAGCCTGACCCATAAAACTCTCCCAAAAGAAATGGGAGCAAAGGACTCTGAAGCCCTAATGGGCATGGCTGTGGCAAATTGCATCATTATTTTCAATTGTTCACTTACCCATCCTCCAAGTGGCTTATACAGCCCTACCCATGGCCATGGGATTTTCCTTATCTCCTGTATTGTAGTTTACCTTTCCATCTCATTGACTTTAGCCTTGGTTATGTGACAAAGCATTAGCCAAGGGAATGAAAGTAGTCATAGTTTATGTCACATCTGAGCAAAAGTTTTAAGAGGCATCATGAGAACCCCAAAATAAACCCACACATATACAGTCAACTAATTTTCCACGAGCATGCCAAAAATACAAAATGAAGAAAGAATAGTTACATCAATAAATGGTGCTAAGAAAACTGGATATCCACATGCAAAAGAATGAAATTGAGCTAATAGCTTAAATCATACAAGATCAACTCAAAATGGATTAAAGACCTGAAACGGTGAAACTCCTAGAAGAAAAATAAGGAAAAAGCTCCTTGACATTGGTCTTGTTATTGATTTTTTAGATATGATACCGAAAGTACAGGCAAGAAATGCAAAAATAAACAAGTGGGATTATCTTTTGTAAGCAAAGGAAACAATCAACAAAAGGCAACCTACAGAATGGGGGAAAATATTTGCAAACCATATATATGTGTGTATGTGTGTATGAGATAAGGGATTAATGTCCAAAATATACATAATGAACTCCTATGGCTCGATACCAAGAAAAAATAACTCAATTAAAAAATGGGCAAAAGACTGAATGGACATTTCTCCAAAGACATACAAATGGCCAACAGGTATATGAAAAGGGGTTCAACATTACAAGTCATTAGGGAAATGTAAATCAAAACCACAATGAGATATCACCTCACACTTGTTAACAAAAGATTACTAAGTGTTGGCAAGGATGTGGAGAAAAAGGAACCCTGGTTCACTGTTGGAAGGAATGTAAAATTGGTGCAGCCATTACGGAAAACAGTATGGCAGCTCCTCAAAAAACTAAAAATGGAACTACCATATGATCCGGCAATCCCATTTCTGGGTATTTATCCAAAGGAATTGATATCAGGATTTTGAAGAGATAACTGCATTCTCGTGTTCACTGCAGCATTACTGACAATAGCCAAAGCATGGAAACAACCTAAATATCAATCAATAGATGAATGGATAAAGAAAATCTGGGGTGTGTGTGTGTCTACATACTACATATACAGTATATACATATATATATACACACACACACATATACACACACTATATATACACACATATACAAAACTGAATATTATTCAACCTTAAAAAGAAGGAAAGCTTGCCAGTTTCAACGACATGAGTGGACCTGGAAGACGTTATGCTAAGTGAAATAAGCCAGACATAGAAAGACAAATACTGCAAAATTGCACTTACATGTGGAATCTAAAATAGTCAAACTCATAGAAACAGGGAGAATGGTGTTTGCCAAGGGCTGGGAGGAGGGGAAAATGGAGAGGTGATGATCAACGGATACAAAGTTTCAGTGATGCAAGAAAATTAAGTTCTGGAGATCTACTATATAGCATAGTGCCTATAGCTAATAATACTATATTGTATACAGTAGATCTTACGTTAGTGTTCTTAACACATACACACACAAAAATAATAATAAAGGAGGTAAGGGCAACTTTGGGAGATGATGGATATGTCTATGGCCTACTATCCTCAAACTCAAGTTGTATACATTAAAGAAGAAAAAACAGAGGCATCATGAGTTTCCTCCTGCCTCTGTTACTCTTTCCTTCTGTTACAAGAATAGGAATGGCCTACACAGAAGCTATTTCTTCAGGCCAGGGGCCCAAATGAGAAGACATATAGAGACAAGTCACGGCTTAGAAGAGAGCCACAGCTAAAGTGTAGCCTACAGGTTAAATAAGTAAGAAATAAACCTTTGTTACTGTAAACCACTAGAATTTCATCTTGTTTGTTTTTAACGGCAGCAAAGCTGATTAATATAATTGTGACTCCAAATGATAGAAGAATGGATCCTGGGGCCGGGCGCAGTGGCTCACGCCTGTAATCCTAGCACTCTGGGAGGCCGAGGCGGGCGGATCGTTCTGAGCTCAGGAGTTCGAGACCAGCCTGAGCAAGAGCGAGACCCCATCTCTACCAAAAAATGGAAAGAAATTAATTGGACAGCTAAAAATATATGTAGAAAAAATTATCCGGGCATGGTGGCGCGTGCCTGTGGTCCCAGCTACTCGGGAGGCTGAGACAGTACGATTGCTTGAGCCCAGGAGTTTGAGGTTGCTGTGAGCTAGGTTGACGCCTCGGCACCCGCCCCAAGCAAGAGAGTGAGACTCTGTCTCAAAAAAAAAAAAAAAAAAAAAAAAAAAAGAATGGATCCTGGGTCACTGTTTGGACAACAGCAGGTCAGAGATTTATCTAACCAGGTGTACCTGTGTTGGGATGCTGCATGAGTGAGAAATAAACTGTCATTATTCTAAGCCATTGAAATTCTGAGATTGTGTGTCACTCTGATTAATATATTTTCTCTGTGAAGTCTTTCCTGATCACCAGAATAAATCATTCTTTACTCAATTTCTGTACTTTGTGCCTTTTATTATTGTACACATCACAGTATTAAATAGCACTTTTTTATACACCAGCTTCCCCTACTAGTCTATAAGCTCCATAAGAGCAGAGATGCTATCCTAATGATCTTTGAATCTCAGCACACAGCAGATGTTCATTTTAAAACAGGCGCTCTCACGGTAACATATCAATGGTTCATAACACTCATCGCAAAATACTTTTAAAGTGAATGAAAATATTTCCCTCTTTCAATTACAGTGTTCCTGTGCTTTGGGAGTAGGTGAATAAAGATTGGTAAGTAAGGACTAATTTATTGAATACATTAAATACTGCCAAACTGGAACTGCTAAAATTCAAGTGGTATTCTGAGATCACAAATGGTCATTAAACTAAAACTTCAAACTATACAGCTAGTACAAAAGTTAAGAATGGGTTATTTTCCAAAGTAATTAAACACACACACCATAATCAATCCATACCTGATTTCTCTGCTTTTCAACTTCATCCTCAGTTATGCAGTTGGACAGAATCTCAGACCATTCCAGTCGCTCCTCAGGTGTCCTCACCGAAAGGCTATCAAATATTTCAAAGTAAAGCCATGCCAGGTCCTTAGCCAACTGCAGCTTCCCACATGCAATGTGCCTCCATGTAGACCAGTAGAGGCGTGGGTAGGCTCCCTCTGTTGCCCGGGTTCGCACATAGGTGGATATCTTCCTGAGATAGTGAAGACTAAACTTGGATGGAGGGGGGATCTGCAAGGTACCCACTATAAAGGGTTCTGCTTTCACCCAGAGGAGAACTCCGGACTGATCCATATTATTTCTAGGGACATCTGGGTGAAAAGGCTTCTTTGCATACCTAGGAAACAAAATTTCTTCATAAACTGATTTGAAACAAATCTCATTTATACATTTCCTTGGAAGGTGGCCCTTTCCTTAATTGTGTTAAATGTACTACATCATCAGCTTAAAAAACAGCTCTAGTTTATCAACCAAGAGCAGAATAAATTTTTGGTCAGATCTCATTACAGTCTATTTGAGCAAAAAAAAAAAATTGTGATAAAATTATACTACTTGAATTGTTAGAAATGGTTGTTTCAGGAAGAGTGTGTCAATGCATGCAGTCTGAGTGGGATTCCTGCTTAGGGCAGGAAGAAAAGAAGGAATGGGAGGTGGGGAGGAAGTAATCCTATCACAGGAAATCTTGTCACTGAGAAGGAACATTGGTCAAAATAAGAATAAAATTTCAGAGTTAAATCACTTGCACAGGGAGGATAGTTGGTTAAAGATTTGCATGTGTTAGCTGACCATTTAAGTTCAATATGAGGTAGCAGACAAGAATGCTAATGTAAACATAGGCTGCAAATACAGATCAAGGGAAGCATATTTATTTATTCTCTTTAACAGTGAACTCACTCTGAGGTATTCTATCACGCTCAGTTCAGGTGTAGTATTTTTGGATTTTGTTTGTTGTTTTTTTGTTATAACAATGATACATGATTTTTATGGAACATTTATAAAATATCTAAAAATAGAAGGGGGGAATCATCTACAGTTTCCGTCACTAAAGGGCAACTAGTTAATATTTTATTGTACTGCCTTCTCGTCTTTTTTTCTACATAGATTAGATGTTTGTTTGTTTTTGAATTTTCATAGTTGTGATAATATCACACATACAATTCTGTATTATTTAAAAAGTCTCAGAGCATTCTGGCCAGGCATGGTGGCTCATACCTGTAAACCTAGCACTTTGGGATTCTGATATAAAAGGATTGTTTGAGACCAGGAGTTGGAGATCAGCCTGAACAACAAAGTGAGACCCCGATCTCTATAAAAAATGGAACAATTAGCTGGTGTGGTGGCAGTGCCAGCATTCCCAGTTACTGAGGAGGCTGAGGAGGAAGAATCGTTTCGCCCTGGAGTTTGAGGTTACAGTGAGCTATGATTTCGCCACTGCACTCCAGCATGGGTGACAGAGCAAGACCTATCTCAAAACAAAAATAAAAACAAATAAAAGTTTCACAGCATTCTAAATAAACATACTCTAATTTAATCAACCATTCTCTCATTTTTAGACACTTAGTAGGTTTAAGATTTTTCATGAAAACAAGATAGCCAAAATATTGATCATTGTTGAAGCTGGATAATGGGCATGAGGGGGCTCATTATTTTACTTTTTTGTACGTCAAAAATTTTCATTATAAAAAGTTCTAATATTGTCACTATTTTAAAGAATGCTAGGACTACCATCTTTCTTCATATTTTCTGCAATATATTTCCTAGAGAAAATTTTCTGATGTGTATTTGTGAAATGAAGTAACTGACATTTCTGAAACTCCTGACGTACATTCCCATTGCTTTCCACATGATTTTATCAAATTGTACCACCATGTGATCACGGTACTCACTTCTATTGAGCACTCCTCAGCATTAGTAGCATCGTTTAAAAAATCCAAAAAATCATACAAAAAATTAATTATATGATGGATGAAAAATGTTATGTTCTGCACTGATTCTAAGAAAGTTGTGCTTCTCTTCAGACTGACCTGTTCAAAAAATAACTGACATCAATCAAGTGCTTACCACATGCCAGGTAGCATAATCAGTATCTTGCATATTTCACCTCTTTCATCCTCACAATCACCTGGAGATATAGTACATATCATCATCCTCATTTTCCAATAAGAAAATTGAAGCTTAGCGAAGTTAAGGGACTTACCCAAGGACATATACTCTGTTGGCGCAGCCCTAGATTAGGATTCCGATCTGATTTGATAATTGCATTGCTACAAATATACTTTGGAAACCCAGTTTTGGGAGAGTCTCTGAAAAATGGGAACGGATCCAGAAAAGAATTACCAGCATAAAGGGCCTTAGACAGGAGGCCATCTAAGGGGGCAGGTGAAATAACATGGGAGCGTGAACCCAAAAGAAAGGCATGGGAGGGTAAATGGCAGCTGTCTCCGAATATGGGACTGGCTTTGCTGTCGTTCTGAGTAAAACCAGACGATGAAAATTAGGTGAGGAAGACTTTAGTTCTCTCCAAAATGTAACAGGCTGCTCTGTGAGGACTGAGCTCCTGTCCTGATGTGTACAGACCTTGAGGATGAACCCTCAATTCGAACTCCGAGATTGGACAGGGCTAAATTCGTAAACATTCACACACTGGGGCTCTTGTCCTCGAGGTGCGCGGGAGTTAGGGTTTTTCAGGACGAGAGATCGGCGTGGGCCCATGGCGGTCCTCCTGAGGCTGGCCCGCCACCTCGGACGTGATCCCGGGTAGGACTTGGCGTGGGCCGCCCGAGCGCCCGACCAGACTTCAGGAACACAGACACCCAAGCTGACAGGGTCCGCAGCCGACCCGAGACCGGGCGAAAGCGAAGGCGGTTTCCCCAGCCCGAGCCTGAAGCTTGACCGGCCCACACGCCCCTCCCTGGTGCCAGCCCGGGCGTAGTTACCTGCGAAGGCAGGCGGTCGCTCCGCTGCACCGCTCCGCGCGCCACCGTAGCCCGCGCCCCGCTCCACTGGCCCGCCCCTCGCCCTCCGCCGCGCCGACAGCGCAAGCGCGAAGCCTCGCACCACTGAGAGCCGGCGGACCCCGTTGCTAGAGCGGCAGATTGCCGCTTCTGCCGCTCAGAGAAACTTGGTTGCTCTGAGTCTCGCAGTGGGACCTGGAGCCAGACCACGGCTTTCTGGTGTTGCGCCTTTCAACCTAGGGGAGTAGGAAGTTTTCTATTGCTCCACATAACTGGGGTCAGCCAATAGCTGCTGTTAAGGTCAGCACGCTTTCATCAGTAATAATAACGATGATGATGGCAGTTTAAATTTATAGAGCGTTTACTATGACCTGAGCACTGTATAAAGCAACTTTATATGTATTATTTCAGTCTTCCCAAGAGCCCCTTAGGTGCATTTATTTTACTGATGAAGAAACTAGTAGAAAGGTGAAAGTAACACACCCCTAAGATCATACCAGAGGCAGCCAAGATTCATATCCAGGCCGTCTGAAGCGAGACCGCCACTGCCTGCACCGCCTCTCTCCTTCTCCCCACCCCCACCCCACCTAGCGTTCGCTCCTTAACTTAGCTTTACCTCCTAGTTTCTGCCTTCATGAAGCTTTTTTTGGATTCCACCCAGCAGACCTCACTCCTTTCTTTAAACCTCCATTTCATTATTTCTGGACATTTCCTGCTTTCTTAGTTCGTTTATGGCCTCTCTAGGTGTAGAAGATACAGAAGTAAATCAGATCATAAAATGCAATTTAGTTTCTCTTACAGTGGCCTCTCTCCCCTACTAGGCATCTTCCTGAAAGCAGGGGCTTCAGATTTAAATAGACTTGGGTTAGAATACAGTCTACACCACTTAATATTAATAGCTCAGTGACCTTGAGCAAGTTTCTTTTTTTTTTGCACCCCCCCCCAGCAAATTTCATCACCTCTCTGTGCCTTAGTTTTCCGAAACAGCAATTATTATTTGTTGAGCACCACTGTGTGTCTGGCACAGTGCTAGGCACTAAAGTTACAATGGTGAACAAAACAGACAAGGTTCTTGCTTTCTTGGGGTGTATAAGTTAATAGGGAGAATAGACAATACATATTAAGGAATAAAATGGAATAATTACAGATAGTAGTAAATGCTATGAAGATTGGAGCTGGGCGTCAGAGAAGGCCACTTTGTAGTGCTGAATTTGAACTGAGGCCTGAAGAATAAGAAGCCAGCCATCCGAAGATCACAGTCAAAGCAACTTCTACTCAGAAATATTTGAGCACCTACTCCATGCCAGGCACTGTTCTAAGGTACTGTTTTATACATCTTTGAACACAGTCTAGAGATCCATGCTTTCATGAAACTGGCATTTTAATATGTGAGTGTGGAGCCAGCGATGGAAAAAATGAAATAGAGTAGCGTAAGAATAAGGGATTCAGTAGGGGCTAATTTTGATTGGTTAGTCAGGGAAGTCTTCTCTGAGGTGGTGACATGTAAGCTGATATCTGAGTTTAAAAAAAAAAGGAATCACCCACGTTAGGATCTGAGGGAGGGAACGTAAATGGAACAGCTAGTACAAAGGCCCTAGGTAGGAATGAGCTTGGTGTATTCAAGAAAGAGAAAGAAAGCCAGTTTTGCTGGAACATGGTGAGGAGTATAACAGGTGAGGGTACAAAGCATATAAGGTTTTGTAAACTAGCAGAGAGTTGGGATTTTATTCTAATTGCAATTGGAAAGTCATTCGAGGCTTTTAAGAATGGAATGACATGATTTGACATGTTTTTAAAAAATCATGGGATAGGAGACAAGAATGAGAAACAGATACTAAGATATTAAGTAAGATGTTAAGAGTGGGTGTAAGGAGACCAGTTAGGAGGCCCTTGCCAGGTGAGAGATGATGTGACTTGGCCCAGAGACCTAGTAATAAAGATGTAGAGTAGTTTTCTGCAACAGCAATTATTATTTGTTGAGCACCGTTTGTCTGGCACAGTGCTCTAAGCTATTTATCTCGAGCTATATCTAAGCTCAAGATGTAGCTTAGAGGTAAGAATTGGATAGGTTATGCAGGAAAGGAATGCATCTGGAGTTTTGTCCTGAACAACTAGGTGGTGTGTTTACTGTGATGAGCAAAACTGGGGGCAGAGGGGGAATCAAAGAGTTCTGCTCGAAACTGTAATAAGTTTTTATTCATTGAGTGCTAACTATGTGTCAGACGCTGCGCTAGACGATTTACAGATATTTTTTCCTGTTAAAAAAAATCACAACGCTGCCTCAGTTTTTTTAATAAACGTAGGCTCTGATTGGGGGTGGGTGTGGGGGCTTTCACCGCTAAGAAGCAGTAGAAGCCGAATCCTTCTTTTTAAAAAAAAAAAAAAGAATTTTTGGACGTATCAGATATTAAACTGATAAGAACAGATACTACACTTGATCTTAGCCAAAAGGCCGAGAAGCGATTGAATGCGAACTTAAATCGGTCTGTCTCCATGGTCGCTTCTCTGTTAAGATACAACGCCTCTTTTCCATAAAACCGATACAATTTCCTTACGCGGGGTTGTTAAGGGGAATAAGATATCCTAGGCTAAGTGCCCGAGGTGCAGTAGGCGTGGAGTCACTGTCCCCGCCCATTCCTCCTTCGCGCGTCCGCTTCCTCCTCCCGCTTCCTCCTCCCGCTCGGAGCTCAAACTGAATGAAATTCCAAGACTTGTAACCAAGATGAAACCTCCCTCCCGCAATTGGTCAGTGCCGGGGAGGAGCCTCGTGATTGGAGGAAAGTCCGGAGAGGCGGGCGAGGGGAGAGCGGGTACCTTGGGTGCCCTCACGTGGCACCACCCCCTACCTTTCACGTAATTTTCTCCGCCTCCCAGGAGCTGGGCGGTGCGGACTCCTGCGGCGGCGCGACTCTCTGACGTTTCCGCTTCTAGTTGGCCCGGAGCTGCGGCTGCTGTTCCGAAGCCTGACTGGCTGCCCGCGCCGCCTCGGAGGTGAAGTGTACTGAGCCGATTGGCTCCCAGGCGCCGGCCGCGTGTGATGCCTCGGGCCGCGATTGGCCCTCGCCTGCCGGGAGCTTCTCTCGCCGGGACTCGGGACTCCCGGGAAGTGGACTAGCAGGGGAGGGGGGTCAGCTAGCTGTCTCTGCGGACCAAGTAGGAGACCCTCGGCGTCAGGCGGCCTCACTGGGCCGGGTGGGCTGGCGAGCCGACGCGGCGGCGGAGGCTGTGAGGAGTGCGTGGCACCGGGCCCGGGACAGAAGAGCCATGGCCCCGCAGAACCTAAGCACCTTTTGCCTGTTGCTGCTGTACCTCATCGGGGCCGTGATCGCCGGGTGAGGAACAGGCACTCCCAGGCGCGGGGCCCGTGGGTCAGCCTTTGCTGGGGAAGTGTGTGTGTGAGGGGGAGGGGGGATTGAGAAGGGAGATGTGGGGGGAGCGGCACTGCCAGACTGAGGGAGTGGAGGGGGCATGGCTGTGGGGCGGAGGGTGGCATGGGCCAGGCTAGTGGGGTGAGAGGAGAACCGTGGGTGACACCAGTGAGAAGGCTTTAGATCCAGAGACCCTTAGAACTGTGTTTGCCCGGAGGAGTGGGAGTCGGATGCCTTGCTGAACACAGCATCTGAGGGATGAGGGCAGTTTGAGGGAAAGGAGGTGATTGTGAGCAGAAGCAATGTCACGCAGAGCTGAGGAAGAAATAGGGGTACCTGACTGTCACGAAGGCAGTGACAGTGCCAGGCCAAGGTTAAGGGAATGGACATTTCTTCGGTCCAGGAGGTGGGTTGCTGTGCCTTGCTGAGCTTGAGAAGCGGACGATGCTACACTTAGCCTGGACAAACCACTGGGGGGCTGACATTAAAGTGGCTGGGTTATGCCAGGACGAGTGAGGAGGGCAGAGAGGGAAGCCATGGGGGGACTGAAAGAAATTGGATTGAGAGAGCAAGAAGACCCTTTGGAGAGCCCTTGTACTTCCCAGCTTCTTGAGCTATTTAGTGAGTCTAAGCTGTCATCACGCCTCTCACTCTGTGGTTCATTCTTGAGAAGCTGAATAGTCTGAGCAGGAAGAGCAGTTCACCAACATGTAGTAAACTGGGATTCCACCCAGGTGCCCCCACCTCACTTATGAATTATGTGACCTTGAAGTAACGATCTAAATTCTCTAACACTGGGATAATAATGTGCCACCCTTATGCAGGGAATAGGAGCAGATGAACCCTTGAGGATTCTTTCTTCCTTTAAGATCAATAATCCTATAAACCTTGTGACCCAGGATATGGTATGCCAGCCTCATATTTTAGAATGCAAGGAATAGTAAGTCTCAGCTTCTGACAGTTTATAGGTTATTCTAAATAGGGAAGGTACTACCTAGCAGAGCTTTAAATTTTAAGTCCTTGTTCTCTTAAAAGTTTTTTCTCTGTGCATGTATGCTTTAACTTTGTCGTTCTTTTTTTTTGTGAAACATCTTAAATTTCTCAAAAGATAACTCCTGGAAAATGCTTTATTGTTTTTTCTTGGTATACTGTTTTTGTTAGTATTTTTTACACTTACAGCAACACCGTTAGCTATTTAAGAAAACATCACCATAAATATTATTAACACTATTGCTTTAAACTTCAGTCATTCATAAAGTAGTCTCTTAGAAACTGTAATATTGATGCTGAGCTGTGTTAGGCATCTTCTCCCTGCATTTTTCCGTGCTGTTACTTAACCATTTTTATATGAAGCATGTTCTAAGTAAGCCTCATTCTTTATACAGTTAGCCCTTTTGTTACTAATGTTAGCAATCCTTTTGATTATTTTGTTCTTATCTCAAAAGATGTCAAAATTTAACAGATTTGTTGGGGGTGGGTGAGGAAAAAGCCCCTAATCAATCCTCATGGAGCCCCTTGTGAATGATCATTTTAAAAACAGATATATGAAATAAATTAAATGACTTTTCCTAAAGTGTGACTAAGAGCTTATAATTTTTTTTAATATTCTGTCACATATCACCTGGTCTTGGTAGCCCAATGCATTTTTTTTTTTAAGACAGAGTTTTGCTCTG